TTAGCTTGTTTCGCGTTCGGATTTTCGGTGCACAAATGAATATTTAAATGCGATGGTATTTTGAGTATTTTTAAATCGCTATAAATGAATGGTAGCGATTTTAGGATAAGCTATTGATTGTATTATTATTTTAACATGGGTTTCTTAAAGGCTTTTTGTTCCATTTGGTCCTTTTATTATTAATTATTTTAATTATTTCTATTTAATTACAGGAATATTTTTATATATTTTCTTGTGAGTTTCAGAATTGTTTACACTTTTCTTCCTCATCTCATTTTTTCCGATCTTGGCAATTAAAAAAATACTGCATCGATTGTTTCGAAAATTGCATGGTGCATTTATACGTGTTTCAAGAATACACAATGAAAATAATTAAATATTTTTTAAGTTATAAGAGATCAATATCAGTAAAAAATGTCCCCCTTTACTGTTGTGATTCCGATCTTTTCCGAGGATGAAATCTAAAAATGAAAAGTTCTCGTTAAACTAGAAGATATTCTCCGCACAATAACTGACAATCGAAATTCTCATATTAACTAAACGACTGCGTTTCAAAGTTCAAAACTATATTTTTGATCAGATCAAAAACTTGATAGATAGAATTATATGTGACCTGGTCTACGGAAAGGGGGCAAGTGGGCTTAGGTGTCAAAAATCAATTTTCACTTTTTAGTTGATTCGGATGGAAGATGAGATGCTTTTTCACGTGATAAAATCAAAAATTTTCGCACGTTTGCTCCCTTTTCGTAGACCAGGTCACATATACAGTACTGCAGTAAATTTGAAAAATACTGTTGGGCGGATTGAAATGAGCGGCAACTCTTCAAATGGTTCCAACTCAAAAAGTATTTGAGATATCAATTTTAGAATTTAGTATGTTATTTTTTAAGGTATAAATTACTAAAATATGAAAAAATTACAAAAAAACGATTTTTTTTTGAAGACTTGACTCTAGATGTGCCCCTTAACATAGGAGTCGATTTTCGAAAAATGTTTAGCTACTAAAGGAAGTATAATGATCCTCAGAATATTATCTTTTGATACAAAGTCTATAAAAACTGGTCTGCTTCACACATGTTTTTATGTGCATAATTAAATCAAATGAAACCTTGCATAATTTAATATTTGTTTAAAATTTTAATATTCCAGTTAGCAGTTATCGAGATATCTATTACCAATATCTGTGACACACTCAACTTAGCGTTTCTGTTTCTAACCACGTAAATGGATTCTTATTTAATGCCTATATGACATTATACTATAAACGGACTCTTTGTTTAAGCAGTCTAGATTTTTTAAAGAATCATTTGAGAGAGACCCAAGCTTATTGGGCTTCCAAGTGGTAACCAATTAAGCCATATGCATATATAATAGAAAAATGTTATTGGTAGTTGTACTCGTCATTGGAACCCTTTTTAAAGCTATCCGAAACTAAAGGAGAAGAAAAGAGTACAACTTTAAAAAGCTAGAAAGGGACTATCTTGTAGAGTTCAATCTCGGCCAAGGTGCTTAATAACAAAGCTTCGCATGATTTGTGGTAACAAACTGGAATATTCCAATGCAAAACTTTCAAAAAGAAGCTTTTGCGAAATGCAGTCCAACAGTTTATAGCTAAACCTTGAAATTATGGCTATAAAACGTTATCTAATTGCACGTACGTTCCATTTTAGTTTATCTTTATAGAAATATTAACTGTTATACGTTATCTATAACATTTTCCTTGCCATAAAACAGGAAGCTTTTGAATTTCAACAATGCCAGAAATCTCACGCTCAGAGCATTTAAGCGTACACACTACAACTCTCCCTTACATCGCGCTCAGCGTCCACACGCTCGTACGCATATCCTGTATACATTAGGCAACATGTCGCCAGCAACACGCCACGATACTAGACGTTCTCACACCGACAGGTTCGTGGACTGGCGCCGCATGACATCACTTCGAGACTCGTAAAGTTGCGCGGAGCACACTGGCGTCGTGCAACATGCTCGACACGTTGCTGATAATGCCACCAACAAATACATACACACATACGCGGCCACGCATACGCCCATACCCGAATGGATGGCGGTGGCATAAAGTGTGTCAACATGTTTAACGAGCTGCATGAACTACATTTCATTTGTTCAAAATAAAGGATACGACAGGATGCGAAGTAACTTCAGTGCAATTTCTGATACAGCCGAGATTTGAACGCGCTCCACTGACAGCGAATGCCACAACGGTAAAACGGATAACGGCAATTGTATCATATACGCATACGATGTGTGTGTGTGTGTGTACTTTAGTTGGGCTGTCAGTGCGTTGACAGCGTGTTTGTAGCCGTGCATTGACGCTCTTACTTAATTTTCGTTTCGGTTATTCAACTACATCGCATTTGTTATTGTTGGCGCGCTTTGGTGGAGCATCGTGCTGCCGAATCGCTTTGCCGCTCGTGCGAATCCTTCGCCGCTTGTTGTGTCATATGAAGGAAAAATCTCAATTCGTGCGTGTTGGTCGTTGATGGCCATCAACAAAATTCGCATCCTTGGTTTGGTGGCTTTGCCATTTGCTTGGCAGCAGGAACAACTCAGTCATCATTGTGCAGTGGCGGCGTTTTGACGCGTTCTCCTCTTCTACTGCTACTTCGCACTAACCAGTACTTGTCGTCCAATACAACAAAAGCTCTCGAGGTCTAATACGAGTTAACGAGTGTGCAGTGGCAAAGCCGTTAAAGGATAATCGGTTGAAAATTCAAAGATTCGCAAGCAGAAAAAAATAAAATTGTGTAGCAGCGAAATTTGAAATACTAGTAGTGTACTTCGCCTGCTGGTCGTTCGTACTGAAACGAGTATTCGTGTGTGTGCGTGCCCGCGAGTGTATGCTTTGTTTTGTGGTCGCTGACAACTAACGAACTCGTTTATAACAGGAAATTCATGTTTCAAGGATAGGTTGGCGGCAATTTTGAAAATGTTGTCATCGGTGGCGGCATGCCGCTGTGGGCGTTGTTGCTGCCAGTCTGACCTGCAGCACGCAATTTTTTTGCTGTCGGCGTTGGTGAACCGTGTGTGGTTGTAGTGCGTGTGCAGCTTGGCCAATTGGTGATGAACGGTGTCTTTTTTGCGTTTTTTTTCCTTGGTTAGCGCTATCTTCTTGGCAATATATGTTGGCTTGGCAAAAGCTTCCGAATGATGTCATGCGTGTGATAATGCGTTGCTGCGTAAATATTTATGCAAAAATTGTTTGTTTAGGACATAGCAAATTGCCAATGTGTATGTGAATGACAAAAACAGCAGTGCTTAAAAATTAATGTATGCAAATGTATATGAATAATGATAAAAACTATTAAATGTGAATTAAATATACAAAACAGGTATGCAAGTAAAAAATCATAGAAACAAAACTAACCAATCTGAAGTCAAAGAAAAAGATGTAAACATAGAATTTGGCTAGAACGAAATGAAAATCAACAACAAAACAAAATAGTGAAATAAATTTTTTTTGAATAAAACATAATCAGTGAAATGATATGAAAAAATAAAAATAATTGAAATAAATTAATATAAAATACTGGAATTAAAA